AACCAATCTTTACGATTAGGTTCCATTGGAGTGAATTGGATATATGAATTCTTAATTACGTTATAAACAGCCTTCTTCTCCCTATCTCTTGCCATAGTGTGCCAATTTAGCTAGTCGTATCCAACAATATTATAAAAAGAAACTTATAAAATTTGAGAAAATTAATGAAGTACACGTCTATGCCCACATTCATTTGATTGACCTTTTTGTTAAGATGAATAAAGTACAACATCAAATGTGACAAATTTGCAGTGATAAGAATGCGCTGACCAAGTTTATTTTATTCCATAACTCATCTTAATCACATGGGACCTTTTACCAAATACCGACCCTAATACTATTTTATGATATAGTACAAAATTCCTCAGATAAACAATATTTGAGCTTATTGCATTAGTTATGTAAGCAAGTTGTTAAATAATTATTTGTGTATTTTATTTATTATGATTACGTTGACTCTAGAGTTTTTATGACTCTGTTAAATTAAGACAAAACTTTCATCTCATGAAGAAAAATTTTAAAATTTTCCCGAGTATCAGGTGAGAACTAATTGGGACATTAGTCAAAGTCGGATGTATAGTTAATTTGCTAATTATGAAATTACTGAAACATAATATCCCTGCCTATTTATTCAATGACATAAGCTGTTTTACCTTGAAGGGGAAAGGTGGGCAATTCACTTGCAAGGTAGATAGTTTGGGCTCTGATTCAAAGCCCACTATCTTGACAAAATGCCAAATCAATATTTCAACTGTAAATCCATAAAAGTCCAATTTGACAGACTTACCTTACCCTCTTCATTTTATGGGCCAAAGAAGGCATGAAAGAGTTTGGATTGGCAAGAAAGCTTATTATATCACTGGCCAATAGGAAAGGTTTTTTAGAATCAAAACATGGACCCGCTTGACAGCTATTATTCCTTTGTTTGATTGAATTGGCGGCTTGGATTGGCATCCTTATCCTATCAAAGTTAGTTGTTCTATTAATGTGATAAATAAACAGGAAGAGCCAGCCAAGGTCGATGTTGATTATATCAAGGCCCATCTTTGTTTCGTGGCATCCGGGCCTTGGCCGGCAAGTCCTAATAAAAGAATGGTTCGATCACAATCAAAATCCGATTGAAAATGGCCAGACAAGTCTATGACAAGGCTTTGTGTTGATCAATTCGAGGCCCATAAGTAAGTGCAACTTCAACGATGAAGGGGCCCCGCTTGACAGTCACACTTATCCATATTTGCAAGCCAGCTTGGTGCATTGGGTCTTTAGTCCCTCTCACAAACGTCATTACTTTCATGAAACGCAATGAATACATGTGTACCTTTTGGGCATGGGCGATTCTTGGACCTTTTCCATCGTCCATTTTTGACTAGTTGAATCCAATTAGGCTGACTTGACCGCGGTTTTAAGCATCGGTGGAAACCTGGGGTGGCCCACTTGAGCACTGCTTTTGGGTCTTGGTCCATTTTTATTGGCAAAAATTAACTTTAATGGGTTGGATAAGCTAGCCCAAAGTCTCAACAATTTTGGGCTCGAGGTTCAATTTGCTAATCAGATCATGGGTCATGCAGCATCTCCAAGAGAACAAGGATTTTGATTTTCATGGAAAGGTTTAGTAGATGAGATCATGGATCAAAGCTAATAATTAAAGGTGATTCTAGCAAACTATCATGTAAAAAGTGAAATGAAATTCGTACATCACGTCTCTGTTTTTTGTGGTTGATGCTTTAGGAATTTAACACCCACACATCTCCAATGACCATTAAATCGAGAACTATAACTTGATTCTGTTTCCAAGTTGATTATCAAGTCCGACCCTAGTCCAATATTTAGTCTACATCATGGGTCACCGATAGGACAAAACAGGAAGGGTATGGTTTCGAGGAATGAGGACAAATGACACCACAATTGATGATATCTCTACTTTGGGGGCTATTTTACATAGTATGTGCGTTGAAAAAGAACGACAAAAGTGACGGACCAACAAAAGTTGGTGGTCTAGGAGAAGTCCACACATAGTATCCAAGAGATCAGGATAAGTTTCTGTCCTAGTCCTACCCCAAATGCAACTGAAGCAGCCAGTGGCCAAAGTCAAATTGGCAACCAAAGCCTAATGCTGAAAAACATTCGTATATATAGCTGGCTTATCTTTACCTGCCCCAGTGGCCAGTTTGCATTGAGCTAAACCTCTGGCTGCGTAAGCGCTTACGTTAAAAGCCCAATTTGACGAGACAAGGAGGTTCCCCGAATCCAACACACAGTTAACCATTTAACAGCGTGGACCTCTCCCTTGGTACTGATGAGTTCCAGTCGGTAGCCAGCAAAATACCGTGTCGTTGTTTCAGCGTTGGCTAATGGCTATTCCCAATGGGATTATCTTTTATGTCGCCTCTGAAGCAGTAGGATATTACTATAATAAGACTTGAGGAAGACCCCTAAAAGGCCAAAAAAAGGTAAAAAAACAAAAGGCAGGCTCACTGGTAAGCTTTGATGTCTACTTTCTTCAGGCGACAAGCTTGCATCTGCTTAAATTGTCTCACTAATTGTTTGTTTATGCTTGAAGCATAAACAAAAGAATAAAAGCAAACCTAGAAAAATTTCCAGGATGCTCTGACTCTGGCTCTAATTTAATAAAGACAAACCTCCCTTGCATGATCTTATCGTGACAAGGATATATATATATATATCAATATGTGGTGCATTTCCGTCTCTATTGATTGAAAAAATGAAATAAAATATCTACTACTAATATTTCTAATCTGCTTCTACTTACATTGCTTTCTACTAGATAAGGGGTTTTGGATAAAATTTTGCATTTCGAGTATAACGTAGCT